GTTCCGAAACGGCGAGGAATTGCCCTGGCTGCAAAATGACGACAATTATGACTTCAATTACCAGCAGGTCCGAGTCTTTCGGGAACACATCACCCTTTATCCTGGAGATCAACTCATAATGGGTTAGCTCTTTGTTGCTTGGATTCCTATCATGTAATGGGGTATGTGTTTATCGAATGTATTCCTATCACACCGGAGGGTTTTTTCATTATAAATATACATACAGAATGCGACTATGATTCATCGAATCGGGATTCTGTGACGGTGAGTGGTTATGGAACCGCGGAAGAGATGTGTCTGGCTTTCTTCCAATATTATCCTGCTCTGCACCTTGCTGCCTGCTTCAGTTATCCCAAATTCGAGGAGGTGTTCTCTCTGTTCGACATCACCGACCTCTGGGTCGACCAGTACGGTCTTTTCCTTCTCTTGCTTTGATAGCTCCGTGTCTACGTGTTGTTTTCATAATGAATGCTAATAGGGACGGGGGCTTTGACTACATGGTGTCGGAGAACCAGACTCTGGTGGATTATCTGAATGAGTTTGATTGGTCGGGCATCGACATGGAAGGCTTCCAGGACCTCATGCGTTACGATCCTCATTATGCCCTGTGCCTCGACGATATGAATGAACTCGTCCTCGTGAGTGCTTTTTCCCTTTCAAAATCCTCTGAAACCCGGCAATGTCAAACCTTATTTGCGTGTTCATGATGACAACGTTAATTGCAAGAAATTGAGGCTCACGGCATTACCTCTGAGCATTATCATTAGTGTCCATGCGCCCATGATTTAACTTAACCAGGGCTCACAATAGCATTGTTATGTTGAACCTCCGTGGATGAGGTCCGTATTTTGATTTTCCATTTCAGCCGTGGAATCTGACATCGAGCTATCCCGAAGGCGTGGAACCCTGGATGCCTCCCGGTCGAGAATGTCCGTCTGGCAAGAAAACGTTTTAGAGGGTTTGCCTCGCGTTAAATTGAATACACCAATTCCTTCAATATCTCGCATGTTCCTTTCCTTCACCGGCGCATCGACTTGTAATATGAGGTCGGGAAGAGGCCTCATCCGCAGGAATAACACTCGTGTGCATGGGCCTCCTGACCGACATTGAAATGGATCATTCTGCATATGGAAGAGCATGGAAATAAGTAATTGATTACAAAGAATGCGAAATTGCACGTGTTATGCATAACGAAGGACAAACTTGGAGATCGATACCGTGAGAAAAGAATGAGTCCAAAGGCTCGAATGTTGAAATCTCCTTTAACTAAATTGCAAATAAGAACACGAAATTGGGGTCACTCCTTCAGGAAAAAGAAAACCTGGGGAGTTGTCGTCTGACTTTTTCCATGGCAGACATTTTCCTTTTAACGCTTTCCGTCTCGCTCGCTGGACCGTTGACGTCATCAAGTCTCTCCCTTGGAGTGAAATTTTCCTTTTTACCTTGTTTATTCCCTCGAACCCTTGAGATCGGGAAATCTGGAACTTGAACCGACTCGGTGAGTCAAATCCTTTTTGTGTTACTTTCGCCCTTGGATCGGATTCCATCACTCCATGCTAAGGCATCGTCATTTGCACATTTCAAGAACTTCCTCACGTCCAGCGTATTTTTAATCGTGCGCCGACCAAACTGTTGTACAAAGATTTGCAGTCCCGTATTCCCTACCATAAAGACATGCGCCACGAAACGGTGCGGCATGTCCAGAGAATGGTGAAATCGGCCTTGCATAGATCCAGTCAAATGAAGTCTGAAACTCCTACGAGGTTCCAACCGGATTGCGTTGTCTGGCAGTGATAAAATGCATCATTCCTCACCCAGTTTCCCTCGTACCCATTCCCACCGGCCGGATGCAAGAATGTTTTTACTCTATTTACGAACTAGAGTCATATTGCCCAGAATGGAGGGTTCAGGGCCATTTCTAGGCGTGGGCGATCTCCCGGGGTGCCGTTGGGGAATTGGGGGGGGGGGGGGGGGGCCGCGCAAAGAAAACC